TTCTGATGGCAGCTGTGGGTGTAACTCTAATCAATATCTAGTGACCACAGGTGACTTCTATGAATGCATAGGTACTGGTTATGCAGAACAAAGAATACACTTAAAACATACCAGATGTGAATTAATCACTGTGATTAATCAATCAAGTACATTTGCATAGTTGTATATAGCTTTCTGTAGCACTTTACAGATGAGAAATAAGTCAGCAATAATATGGCAAAGAAAAACAATTTGTATTTTCTTTAAAAATTCATGCTAATCTTCCAGATGTTACTAAATAAGAAGTTAGTAATTGTAAGTTAACAAGTTGGTATTAAATAGTACAATAAAGGTAACAAGTTGTATTACATGCAAATTTTTTGTTGTTAATAAATAATACAATTTTAAAAAGATGAACAGATTTTATAAAGATTTATGTGATTTGGCTTGAGCTTTTTCCATTGCTGAACTATTTCAGAGCCTTTTGTCAGATCTATGCTTTATAATACAGTAATTGTGTTTGTTACTCAGTAACACAAATGGAACATGCCAGCCCTAATTGTGTAATATCAGTTTATTTATCTCATTGCAAAGGTTCTCTGTAGTTGGGCCTATATGCAAAAGAAATAGATCAACCATAGATGATTTTAATGCAGTCAATTTTAAAACATAACTATCCATATAAAAGTCTTATTACCAACTAAGTGCTACTGCAAATACTAATGCATAATTTAGTAATAACTAGAAAACTAGTACATTTTTTGTTTGTACAACTTGTTACCATAATATATAATTACTATATAATTACCCACTTATTATCAATCTGCAAAGTGCTAACATTTTTAGAAAAATTAAAAGGAAATTATAAAATCAGATTTTCAAAAGTGTGCATCTTTTGTAAAATAGGAGATGCGAAGGCAGGAAGCCTTTTCTGAAAATCATGGTCATTAGGACAGTCAGGGATCAAAAAGATCCAAGACATGATCAAATTTGCTAAAACCAGGGGCAGAAAAATAGGAAGAAGACAAGCCCAAAACAGACCAGGGAGAAATAAGAAATATAGTTAAAACTAAGTGAATTATAATGCTACTAGAAAGTGGCTCAGAATTGCACTTCAATTACTTTGATAGCACAAACTTGTAAAAATTAAATACAGTCAAGTCAGCACAAGTGGTGTTTATTGTCATTCCTCAATATAACTTTTATAAATTGGAACAAAATGTCACTCTTTAGGCCTCATGGTGCAACACACAACAGCAGCACACTACACAGGATTATACAGAGGGCAGACCGAGTTGGGCAAAATATTTGTGTCAAAATACTTGTGCAATCAGGAAGAAGGTGTTGCAAAGTCTGGTGGTCATGGAATGGATGATCCAGTACCTTCTGCCAGGAGAGTGAAAAGTCCTTGAGAGGAGTGGGAGCGCTCCTCCACAATACTGGCAGCCTTGCAGATGCAGTGCTTGTGGTCTGAGGTGTCGATTGAGGATTAAAGGTACCTCAATAGCTGACCTAAAATCTCCTGTAGGGTCCTGTGGTCCAAGACAGTGTAGTTCCAGCACGCTCTCTACTGTCACCCTGTAGAATGTAGTAAAGATGGAAGGGACAGAAGTTTACATTTTTCATCCTTTGTAAGAAGTGTAGTTGATGCTGGGCTTTCTTGGTTAGGCAGGTGTTGTTTAGGGTCCAGGTGATGTCATCAGTTATTTGCACAACAACACACACCCAGTGGTTATTCTTGCTGATCCTGACAGACCGGGGTCTCAGTCGGGTAGTCCAGGGTCCAGTTGCAGAGGGAGGTATTTAGAACCAGGCCATGGGTCAGTAAGCGGTGACAGGCAGAGGATATGCTGTTGTCTGTAGACTGAATAAGGCTATACACAAACTGAAATGGATCCAATCTAGAAGGAAAATTGTTATTTATGTGTTATGTGTTTCCAACCACTTGAAGCACTTCATGATGACTGGAGTGAGCTCTACAGGTCAGTAGTCATTGAGGCAAGACACAGTAGATTTGTTTGGCACAGTAATGATGGGACTTGTTTTGAAGCAATCTGGGACAACTACCTGGCTCAGAGAAATGTTGAAGATGTTGATTAGGACATCAGCAAGCTGGTCAGCACAATCCATGATAAAGGGGCCAGGTATGTTGTCAGGGCCAGCAGGCTTCCAAGGGCCAACTCTGGAAAGTGTAATCCTAATGTGTACTGCAAAACATTTTACTCTGTTTGCTCCAAATAGTCCTGAAGTGGAGAGATGGCACCTTCAGACCAGGTTCTGACCTGTTTCAGAACCAGCTTGACATGCTTGAGTGGAGGTTTGTACGTTGGAACTAACATGACAGAGATGTGGTACGAGCAGTCAAGGTGGGTGTGAGGTGCAGCCATGTATGTGCTGCAGAAATAGATGTAAACAACCCTGTTAGTGCAGTGTGCTGTTACAGAAAAAGGAGTATAAATTATAGATGATTAAAATGATTAATTGTGATGAATCAAATTATTTTTTTGTAGTTAATAAGTCACATTTGTTTGATAACTCAAATTTATCTTTAAAGCAAGACTATTTTCCATTTAAAAACAGTGCATTTTGTAACAGCTTTACTATAAAGGCAAAAGTGTTGAGATACACCTCTTAATCATTAATTCAGGTGTTTCATTCAGTCCCATTGCCACAGGTGTATACAATCAAGCACCTAGCCATGAAGTCTGTTTTTACAAATGTTTGTGAATGAATAGGTGGTTCTAAAGAGCGCACTGAATTTGAGCATGGTACTGTAATAGGATGCCACCACTGCAACAAGTCAGTTTGAAAAATTTTTTCCCTCCTAGATATTCCATGATCAACTGTGAGTGGTATTATTGAAAAGTGGAAGTGTTTAGGAATTACAGCAACTCGGCCTTCATAAAGTAGGCTTCGTAATAACTATGAGCTGGGTTGCTGAGTGCTGAGGCATATACTGCATAAAATTTGCCAACGCTTTTCTGACTCATTAACTGCAAAGTTCCAAACCTCCTCTGGCAATAACATCAGCACAAAAACTGTGTGCCAGGTGCTTTGTGGCATGAGTTTCCATGGCCGAGCAGCTGCAGGCAGTCTTATATCACCAAGCACAATGTAAAGCATCAAATGGAGTGGTGCAAAGCACACCACCACTGGACTCTGGAGCAGTGAAAATGCGTTCTGTGGATTGACAAATCACGTTTCTCTATCTGGCAGTCTGATGGATGAGTCTGAAGTTGGTGAATACCACAAGAATGTTACCTGCCTGACTGCACTGTGCCAACTGTAAAGATTGGTGGAGGAGGGATAATAATATGGGGTTGTTTTTCAGGGGTTGGCCTAGGCCCCTTAGTTCCAGTGAAGGGAAATCTTGATGCATAAGCAGACCAAGACATTTTGGTCCATTGTATACCTCTAACTTTGTGGAAACAACTTAGGGAAGGCATTTTTCTGTTCCAGGATGACTGAGCCCCAGTGTACAAAGCAAGGTCCATAAAGGCATGGTTGGGTGAGTTTGACATGGAAGAATTTGACTGACCCTTGGGTTGCTAGTCCTGGAATGGTAGGCTAACTGCAGCTTACATAGCTTGCATACAACTTTCTTGAGGTTACACAATTTTACCATCTACTGACCTTTAAGTACTGATCTGATGTATTTCCAAATGGGGATTTTTAGATCGCTCAGAGTGCAAATTACTCTCTCTGAAGCTGTGTTGGATTGTGAACTCTCTGCCGTCTTTACCACTTTGTTGTTGACTCTTTTGAGCTGGACCTACATTTCATTTTAAATCATGCAAGTGATGTTGTCCGACTCCTGTATGTCATGCATAACATTCAGTGAGGCAGGCCCAGGCCCACACATGAACTTGCAAGGCAGACAGCTGTGATAATGACGGAATATTCGTTTTCACAAATTAATGTATGTTTTTTATGCAATTCAATTATATCATCAAATTTAAACTATTTGTTAACAGCCGTGGTACCTAATGTAATATGTCAGATATTATGCAGCATATTATGCATATGAGACTTGCCAGAGGAGTCACGTGGGGGGCTAGCAATCTTATCAGGGTGACCATGGCCCTCTTTGGTCTTTTTGACAGATTGCTTCACATCCTCTTCAAGCACTATTTGGCATGAAAGAGAATCCATAATTACTTCTGTGATTGCAAGTTAGCCAGGACCTGAGGCAGCAAAGAACCCCTAAAGCATTTCCAAGACCATGCTTTGCAGCTTCTATGAGGTTCTTCTGATCAAACGCTATGAATGGTTTTAGCCAAACATGCCCTCTGGTACTGTGGCCAAACAACTGTGTTTTAGCCTCATTTGTCCATAGCACATTGTTCCAGAAGTCCTGGTGCTTGACTAAACAGTATTTTGCCCTGATGTTCTTTTTAGACAGCAAAAATATCCTCCCATATAGGTCACATTTGTGCAGACCCTAATGGTAGATGCATGCACTTGCTCCTGAGATGTAAATTTGCAGATTTTCTGATTTTCCTGATTTTAAATTTGATATATTTGAAGTAATTCTATATAGAGGGTGTACTTACTTATTCCACATAATAAAATTACATTTCTGTTTATTTTAATTATATAAAGAATAGCAAGAATGTTAATTTTAGTGTCACTTGTTGAATTATATAATCTTTATCTATGAACACTGTTTCAATAAAGACCGGATATCTGTATGTCCAAATATTTATAATAATTCACTTCTTCACATGACTTTGGGAGAGGCAGAGGCAGGGTGCAAGTTGTGTGATAGGTGATTATTTAAAGATTTTTAAGAACAGGCAAGAGGTAAACACAGATGTAATTATTGCAGTTTATTTATTAAACAACTAATTTATTTACATATTTGTTTAATTCAGATTATGATATCAAAAAAATGCCAGTCACATTTGTGGAACTACAAAATATCCAGACAAATGGTGGCACAGAGAACGCAAATGGGAACAAAGTAACAGTCGTGCTCCCTGTGGAGTCAGCCACACTACACAACACCACTAACATGCAGCTCAGCAGCCCATTCAACGTCATCCTGCAACACTCTGCAGTAAGTTAAGTATATTAGTGACTGCAATATACTATGCTTTCCATTTTAAAGGTAAAAAAAAGAAATATGAAAAAATTTAAAATGTTGGGGGGAAAAAATATATATAAATAAATAAAAACTGACTGATTTCTACAGATCAAAAGGCCCTGAGGGTTCATTTCTGTTTTATGGTATTTATATATAGATCATTTGTGGAATTTGTGGAACAGAAGGTTACCAAAACATGAATAGAGAGTTTTGTGAGCAGTAAAGTTGGTTTCATTTTTACTTGGAGTTATTTCAATAGCTTTCAAATAGCGGATGCCAAGAGGTTAAAATATGTAAATTATCATTGTTTGCACAAAAAATAATCAGCTAACCCTTAATTTTGATCTGAAATTAAAGCCTTTTAAAACTTACAGAACACACTGTTTTCTGTAGACCACCATAAACACTATCTGATGTATCCAGACTAGATAGGGAATTGGTTTCTCAATTGCTTCACTACTTATGAGTTTGAATGTCTATAATTAAGTTAATTTTGTTCCGCTGGCCTTTTAATGTTCAATAAATGATGAGCATATTTCAACAGAATTTCTCCCATTAGTGTAGACTGGGCAGCCTACTGTGTGCATAACTGAGTTAGTAAACTAGCTCATCAGTCTATCATCCTTTTTTTCCTTAGTTCAGTTGTCTGTTCATCCAAGTAGGCATGCTGGCATTCCATGTGTGCGCATTCCTTGGATGCCCATCCAGAAGTAAAGTTAATAAAAAGCCTATTTTCTTTACGGCATAACCACAAAAAATCTGGATGTTTTAAGTCAGCTGTCAACACAGCAGGGTGTAAAACACCACCTGCAAGTGTAGAGCCCGTTTCCCTCATTAAAACGCTCACATTATTGTGTATACTTCTTAACTCTTCACATCATCGAATTCTGTGCTTTTTTCTTTGTAGGTGCCTGCTATTTACCAATTTATATTTAACATATTTTAGTACCTGATAGTTCATGTGAAACATCTTATGATACCAAAAGGAAAAAAAGCACAATAAAGCATTGTGGTACTCCATCATGCATGCAGTTTGAATATTATCCACAATGAAAGATATGCCAACTGCTCATATTGTTTTCTATATTTTGCTCTGACTAGGAGGTTGGCCCTGAAGGTTCTTTATTTTGTTTGATCTGGGAAGACAATAAATCGATGGATTGGAGTTGCAGCATCATTCCAATAGACAGTAGTCAGAGTGTGTGTTCCTGTGTTTACCAAGAAATCACTGGTCAAACGGGGTTTACTGGAGGTAAGTGTCTAGATGCTGGTTAAATAAGAGGAAAGATATGTAGTACTTATAGAAAGACAAACTGAGATCCACTAAGAAGAAGGAAAGCACATCCATTAGCCATAGTTCCAGATATGTTAAATCTCTATTAGCATCAGATTAGCAAAAGTGCAAAGATTCATTGACAATGTAGATGTAAGGGATGGGGCTGGTTGGCTTCATGTGGGAATTAAACCCAGACCCATGCACCGGTGCTGCTGATTACCCTTGATTACTGAAGAGGAGCTCTGTGCCTCTCTTTTGTGGCTATCAGGTGGCCCAGCCCCAGGCCAGGCCATTTCAGGACCACTCCAAAAAAATAACTCCCAATGTTCCCAAGCCAGCTGAATGGTCATGTCTAAAAGTCCTGATAAGCTAGAGGTCAAAGATGTGACATGCCAGGACCCATGAGTCCTCCTTAGGGTCATAACCATCATAGTCAATCTGAATACTATGTGCTTCCCCAGACACAGTTGAAGTTGAGGGGCACCTGACAGTATAGGCCAGAGACCTGACAATCAGGAAGAAAATTACTGAAGCCCAGGAAGTGTTAGACTAAATCAAAGTGAGTAGCCACACCCCACTTCATGACTGTCTTAATCATGGGCAGGCCCATATTCACAATGTCTGTGGAGTGTGAAGAGAGATTTCTCCAGTTTCACACAGATTTGGTTTTGCAAGAAGCTACTAAAAGATCCACCTGACATGACATATGTTTCTTCTAGTGTTCTACTATAGACGAGGATGTCATCTAGGTAGACAAACATGTAACAGTTCAAGGCCTCCTATAGGACATCATTGATTATTACCTGGAGGATATCTGGTGCATTCATTAGCCCAAATGGCATAACTACATATTCATAGTGGTCGGAGAGTATAAAGAAGACCATGTTTCACTCATGCACTTGCCTGCCTTAAATGAGATTAAAGGTGCTGTGCAGGTCCAGTTTGGCAAAGACTGATGAGCCTGAAATGAAAAACAGCCCTGCCCTGAGGTAGCGTAGTACCCTGGAAGGTGTTCAATTGCACAATCATAGGTCCTGTGAGGAAAACCATTGTAAACAGTCTTTTTTCTAACCTGTTGTAAACCATGACAATTTGGTGAAAGTGATGATTTGTACAAACCCACAAGCAGTACAAAGACAATGTATTTAATGTTTTATCTAATAACCATTTTTGTTAATATAAGCTCATTATGAAATTCATGCATGCAACACATTTCAAAAAAGTTGAGATGGGGCAATTTAAAACTAGGAATTTTGCCAAATGTTCAATTAACATTTTAAAAGAAGTGCTTTAATCATGTTAAGGTATCAAAGGAGCATCCAGTAAAGGCCTTTATGTGCAGTGAAGGACAGGTGGTGAGAAACAGGATTTGGTAACAGCCATGTCAGAGCAATGTTACTCACTGCAACCTTTCTTGGAAAAAGTTTTGGTAGGCAGGATGCATAGGCTGCATAGGAGTATTTTTTATTTTTTAATGGATTACCCTTTAGTATGGGTAATCCAAAACTTAGGCAGGCACACACAAGGAAAATCCATTTATAATAAAACAGTGTACAAAGCAGGGGTATATAATTTAATCAATTGATCAGCAGATGTGTTGACAAAAATATTAGATTTCTAAATCTTAGTTTTGTGTAGTGGAATTACTTTAAAGCTTTGCATTAACTTAATTGAGTGATGGAAATATTTTTTTTCAACTGATAATACAACCCCAATTCGAAAAAAATGGGACGCTCTGTAAAATGTAAATAAATGTAACTAAAAATAGAATGCAATGATTTGTAATTCTTGTCTGATGTAGGATTCTAGCTGCTCAACAGTCCTGGGTCTTCTTTGCCGGATTTTTCATTTCATGGTGCGCCAAATGTTTTCTATTGGATTCTTCTTCTGCAAAGCCATGCTGTTGTGATGGATGCAGTATGTGATTTAGCATTAGTAAACACAGCATCCGTGGTTTCCAAAAAGAATTTCAAATATCTGACCATAGAACAAAGTTTTCGTAATTTTACATTGAGGAACATTTTTCTGAAATTGTTCCACAATTTTTAGATGCAGTTTTTTACAGATTGGTAAACCTCTGCCCATCATTGCTTCTGATAGATTCTGCCTCTCTAACATGCTCTCTTTATTACCCAGTCATGTGAATTAGTTTCAAATTGCTCGTCCAACTTATGTGTGTTTACAGAGCATTTGGACATGTTAATCGTGGTGGTTATGCCAGTGGGGTTGTTGTTCCTGAGCTTGACCCTACTGACCTTTGTTCTTTGTCGAGGACAACTAAAGGTCAACAACACAGCTCAGGTCAACCTGTGTATAAGTCTGCTGTTGGCCCACCTCCTCTTTCTGTTCAAAGGGGGATTCCTAAAGTACATAAGTACTAATCAGGTGAGAAATATTACCTTCATACCTTTCTTGGTTCCAAATGACTTAAAAAGTTATATCAGTATGACTGTAGATCTGTTTTATAACTTTTTTCAAATTCATATTAATTGTTTTTTTTAAATATAATAATAATAGTTTATAAGATTTCTATTAGTTTTTACATCATAATAAACTAGTCATTAAATAAATAGGTAGTCAAGTTTTAATCATAATTAGTTTATATTAACAGTCTACAGAAATTAATATATGTATACTTTTTAAGACATGCACACAAGCATTTAATATATTATTAAATTTGATTTATTATTTACAAAATCAAAATCTAAACAGCACATTTCCACTACTCCTAGGTGGTAAAGCAATGTGTAGAAACCCAATTTATAATAACATTTTCCTGTTAAATACAATTTAATCATTTTCTATTAGATTGTCAAAGTTAGTTCATAATTATACATTTTTATTAATAAGTGCCAATATTTCAATTATTAGCCATTTATTTAGTGAGAACATAAGTAAATAACTGTATTTGAGCAATTATTTTATAAATGTACTGTATTTCAATTCATAATCATTGTTTTATGCCTAGTTACTGCATAATATTTTATATCGTTCATGAGCGTATTAAAATTATAAAATAACTAAATGAACAGACTATGATTAATGATTAAAATTCAAATAATTATTCAATATTTATTTGTTTCTAAGTAAATAGTTAATTCAAATAGAGGCATTTGTTGTGGTGCATTTCCTGTCCTAAATCAATTAGGGTATGTACTTGATATCCATAAGAGGTGTTTTCTAAATATTAGACGAGCCAGGGTTTATTTTATCTTTTATTTACTGTTTCAGATTTTTAGGCTGTCAAAAGTTTACATACACATTCTCATTAGTATTTATAAGCATTGTTTTTAACTGCTTAACTTGAATCTTGACTTAGCCTTTTGAAAGGTTCTCACAATACTTAACTTAAAATTTTGCCTGTTCCTCCTGATAGAACTGTTGTAACTCAGTCACATTTGTGGGCTTTCTTGCTCAGACATACTTTTTCAGTTCAATCCAAAAATTTTCTGTAGGATTCAGGTCAGGGCAATGTTGGCCACTCCAATACTTTCACTTTGTTGTCTTTAATTCATTTAATCAAAACTTTGGGGGATTACTGTCCCTTTGGAAGACTCAGCTGTCACTAAGTTTTAACTTTCTGGCTGATGTCTCAAGGTGTTGTTTCAGTATTTCTAGATAATCCCTCTTAATGATGCCATACATTTTGCAAAGGGCACCAGTCCCTTTTCTAGCTAATCACCTCCACAAAATGATGCTGCCACCCCCATGCTTCACATTTGGGGATGATGCTTTTTAGATTAAAAGCACCATTTTGCCTCCAAACATAACACTGATCATAACAGCCAAACAGTTCCATTTTTGTTTCATCTGGCCAGAGAACACTAGGTCTAGGTTTTTGTCCTGGTGATTCCTGCAAACTTCAGCCTGGCTTTTTTTATGCCAGTCTTGGAGAGAAATTTCTTCCTAGCTTGCCAGCCTTTCAGGCCATGTTGATGTAAAACATTCCTAATGGTAGATGTAGACACCTTGGTACCTGATGGATCCAACTTCTTTTTCAGTTCTTTTTTGTCCAGTCAGACGCTTCTAAAAGTAGAACCAACAGTTTAAAAAGATGGTCAGCTTTGTGAACTTTTGATCCATTGGAAATGATGTTTTGAATTTAACAAACTAACATTACAGAAAGTGTATTAAGCATATATAGTTACAGGACATTAGCAACAACTACCAAAATCTGCACTAAAAAGCATTTTGGGGCTCCCAAGTGGCGCAACCGTCTAAGCGTTGGCCCTATCATCAGGAGATCGCGAGTTCGATCCCTGGTGATGCTACAGCCATCCGTAGCCGGGAGTCCGAGAGAGCACAATTGGCCTCGCTCTCTCTGGGTGGGTGGGATGGCCCCTCCTTCTCCCCCCATCACTCAGCGCGATGCTAGTCAGCGCAGGCGTCTGTTAGCTGACGTAACAGATCTGGCGGTTGGCGCTTTCCTCCGAGCGCGTTCGGCTGTCCAGTGACGTTGCGTGAGCGGCAGTTCGAAAAAGAAACGGTGGTTGGCTTCACAGGTCTCGGAGGAAGCCTGTGTTAGCCTTCACCCTCCTAGCGTCGATAGCATCGTGTGATTGGGGGAGTCCTAACTAGCGGGTGGAATTGGAGACGACTAAATTGGGGAGAAAATCGGGTAAAATGTAAAAGCATTTTGATTGACATTAACAAAGTGACATTATGATACTGAGTTTTTTTATTCTGTATTTCTGTCTCTTCTCCAGTTGGCGTGTGCAGTGCTGGCAGGTTTGCTGCACTTCCTCTTCCTCTCTTCTTTTGTGTGGATGTTCATTGATGCTGTTCTGCTCTTCATCTCCGCAAAGAACCTCACAAAGTTCAGATCAAAGCAGAAGAGGATGCTTGGTTGGAAATATCTGACTGTGATTGGATATGTTATTCCTCTGCTTGTGGTGGGTGTGTCTGTTGCAGCAGTGCCTAATGGATACAGCAGTGAAGAGTAAGTGTTGTGGTGTTGTTTCTTTGGGTAGGGGCTTAGCTCAAAAACAAATTTTATGTCAAAATTTTGCAAATTTCCCTTCCTGGATCGGGGCCTTGTCGAGGCGGAAGAGCTTGTGTGGTCTAGGGATCTTCAGAGCTAAGTCGTCAGGAGCAGTATGCTCCTGGTAGGGTCTCCCAGGGCGAACAGGTCTGGAGTGAAGACCCAGACTAACTCGATCCAAAAATCCTCTATGAAAAATGGACACAGACAAGCGTGTACGGGAGAGGGTCACTGGGACCTACCCCTGGAGCCAGATCTGGGGGTAGCGTCCCCCGGCGAGCGCCTGGTGGCCGGGCAGCCCGCGTAACCCATCCGGGCTCAGCCCGAAGAGGCAACATGGGGGGACCATGTGGGCCCACCACCCGCAAGGTCCAGCATGGGGGAGTGGTGCAGTGCCGTATAGGCTGTGCCACAGTGTCAGCTCTGGAACCAAACTCCTTGATAGGGGTTGGTCCCTCTCCTACTCCGGGGTTGCACAAGGTGAGAGGCGCCGGGCGGGTGTGGGGATACTCACAAGTCCCCGGCTGGCAGCCGTGCAGTTGGAATTTGTCCCGGTGGATGAGAGGGTCGCCTCAATGCAAATTAAAATCGCAGAGAGGAAAACTCTGACTGTTGTGTGTGCTTATGCACCAAACAGCAGGTCGGAGTATTCAGCCTTCTTGGAGCAAGTGGGTGGGGTTCTGGAAAGGGTCCCACCTACAGACTCCATAGTCTTACTGGGAGACTTCAATGCTCATGTTGCCCAATCTAAACCCAAATGGTGAATTGTTATTGGACTTCTGTGCCAGGCATGGATTGTCCATAACGAACACCAAGTTCGAACACAAGGATGTTCATAAGTGTACATGGTACCAGAGCTCCTTGGGTCATAGGTCAGTGATCGACTTTGTTGTTGTTTCAGCGGACTTGGGACCATATGTTCTGGACACTCGGGTGAAGAGAGGTGCTGTGCTGTCAACCGATCACCATCTGGTGGTGAGTTGGATCAGATGGCAGGGAAGACCAATGGTCCGACCCGGTAGGCCCAAGCGAATAGTGAGGGTGTGCTGGGAACGACTGTCGGAGGCCCCTGTTCGGAAAGATTTTAACTCCCACCTCCGGGAGAGCTTTTCTCATGTCCTGGAGGAGGTAGGGGACATGGAGTCTGAATGGACTCTGTTCAAAACCTCCATTGTGGAAGCTGCCAGGCGTAGCTGTGGCCAAAAGCTTGTTGGTGCCTGTCAGGGCAGTAACCCAAGAACCCCCTGGTGGACATGGGGGGTGAGGGAGGCCGTCAAGCTGAAGAAAGAGGCCTTTAGGGACTGGATGGCCCGAAGGACTCCCGACTCAGCAGATAGGTACCGACAGGTGAAAAAGGTGGCAGCCGCAACGGTGGAAGAAGCAAAATCCAGGGTGTGGGAGGAGTTTGGAGAAGCCATGGAAAAAGACTTTCGGTCAGCCTCAAGGAGGTTCTGGATGACTGTCTGGCGACTCAGGAGCGGTCAGGGTGGCTGCGCCCAAGCTGTATTCGGCAGGGGTGGAGAAACTCTGACTTCAAATGAGGATATTGTCGGTCGGTCGAAGGAGCACTTTGAGGAACTCCTTAATCCAGGAGACATGCCTCCCTAATGGGAATCAGGGCTAGAGGCTTCCGGCATGTCAAGCTCCATTTCCCTGGTGGAGGTCACTGAGGTAGTTGGCAAGCTCTTCAGTGGCAATGCACCGGGGGTGGATGAGATTCGTCCAGAGATGCTTAAGGCTCTGGATATTGTGGGGCTGTCGTGGCTGGCACACCTCTGCAATATTGCATGGACCTCAGGAACAGTACCCTTGGACTGGCAGACCGGGGTGGTGGTCCCTATTTTTAAGAAAGGGGACCGGAGGGTGTGTGCCAACTATCGGGGTATCACACTGTTCAGCCTCCCTGGGAAAGTCTATGCCAAGGTGCTAGAAAGGAGACTTCGACCGATAGTTGAACCTCGGATTGAGGAGGAACAATGCGGATTCTGTCCCGGCCGTGGAACAATGGACCAGCTTTTCACCCTCTCACAGATTGTTGAGGGGGCATGGGAATTTGCCAACCCAGTCTACATACGTTTTGTGGATTTGGAGAAGGCTTACGACTGTGTTCCCCGAGATATCTTGTGGGAGGTCCTCCGGGAGTATGGGGTGCCGGGGCTGCTACTCCGGGCCATTCAATCTCTCTACTCCCGGAGTGAGAGCTTTGTTCGTATATTCGGCATTAAGTCAGACTCTTTCAGTGTTAGCGATGGACTCCACTCCTGTTCGTGATATTCATGGACAGGGTGTCAAGGCGTAGCCATGGTCAGGAGAGCTTTATGTGTGGAGGCCGAAGGGTGGCATCTCTGCTATTTGCAGACAATGTTGTTCTTTTGGCTGGATCACATGCATGCCTCCAGCACGCACTGGAGCAGTTTGCAGCTGAGTGTGAAGCGGTTGGTATGCGGATCAGCACCTCCAAGTCTGAGTCCATGGTCTTAGCCCAGAAAAGGATGGCATGCCCACTCCAGGTAGGGGGAAAGGGCTTGCCCCAGGTGGAGGAGTTCAAGTATCTCGGGGTCTTGTTCACGAGTGATGGGAAGAAGGATCGTGAGATCGACGCTGGCTGGGACAGGCGGCAGCAGTAATGCGGTCGCCGTACCGGACTGTAGTGGTGAAGAGGGAGCTTAGCCGTAAGGTGAAGCTCTCTGTAAACCAGTCGGCCTACATCCCGACCCTCACCTATGGTCATGAGCTATGGGTAATGACCGAAAGAATGAGATCACGAATACAAGCGGCGGAAATGAGATTTCTTCGCAGGGTGGTGGGCTACACTCTATTTGATAGGGTGAGGAGCTCGGCCATCTGGGAGGAGCTCGGAGTAGGGCCGCTACTCCTCTGCATTGAGAGGAGCCAGCTGAGGTGGTTCGGGCATCTGATCTGGATGCCCCCTGGACGCCTCCCTGTGGGGGTGTACCTGGCACGGCCTACCGGGATAAGACCCCGGGGTCATCCTAGGACATGCTGAAGGGATTATATCTCCAGCTTGGCCTGGGAGCGGCTTGGGATCCCCGGGAATGAGCTGGAGGAAGCTGTGGGAGACAGGGTCATCTGCTCTCCCAACTGCTACCGCGACCCTAGCTGGACTAAGCGGTTAACGACGATGATGATGATGATGATTTTGCAAATTTCATTAGATGTGTATTGAGTTTAGTCAATTATAATTTGTCTATACAGTCTAATATTTGCACTGTATGTGGTAAGAACTAATTACATTTGCTTGAACTGAAGTAAATTTTAGATTTTTACTTTTTGTAATAATACTTTCAATTCTACTGAAGTATATTAGTGAGGAAACTAATCTACTCTTTAGAAACCTCTAGTTAAGACCCTCTCAAAGTGCAGGATAAGAGCTACAGTTCTAATATTTCACAAGCTCCTGCTGCACTCACGATAAGGTTATGTGATATGGCCCCTTATCTGGGCAGAGCTTCTGAACAATCCCACCATGCAAAGCCACAGCACAGTAGAAGTTGGGAAAACTGTCCAGTCTCATGTATGTTTCCATCAAAATGTGTATGTGCATGAAATAAAAGTCAGAACAAATACTGAATTTCACCTAGTTTGGTTTAACAAGCAGTTTGGCAGATTGCTAATGGACTAAAAGGCTAATCCAGTAATATTCTGAATTACACTGTGTTTAAGGATTCAGCATAAAGCTAAAACATATAAAGGAAACTAAGTTATCTGAAACTTTTACAAGCTTTGTTTGTCCAGACTTCATGTGCAGGTGAAGTCATGTGATTTTGAACCCAGTGTGGAAAAAAACACCATTAGCTTGATGCTAACACATAATAAAAAATCTTATATACATGCTAGAAGAAATTAGCATTCTCTTCGGATTGTTTTCATAAACTACTACTAATAGAGTCTACTTCTAAAATGAAGGTTTCCACATAAAGTACCATTCTGTAATGCGATGTGTGACATGTTCGTAATGATTATATATAAAGGTGCAGAATATGCCATTCATTGTGATGGTACAATACAAATATTAGTAAAAAAAAATAGCTAATGTCAGATGTTTTCTTCACATAAGAATGAAACCGATTATACATTTTCTCTCCTTAGATGCTGGCTAAAGAACAACAGGGGCTTTTATTGGAGTTTCTTGGGCCCCGTGTATTTCATACTTGCAGTAAGTACTGCAAAACAAAGAAGGGAAGAAAATGCAAAATGTGTTTATGGTTAACAAACCATACATTCAGTTATTAAGTGAAGCAACATTTGCTCTATAGTCTTTCCATTAGCGGCTCACTGCTTGTTATAAGATTTGTTGCTTATTATGTAACAACTGCTTGTTATAAGGTTCTTTGCTGTCGGAATTAAGATGGTAATTTTAAAGAAGGAAAATACAATCTTAACTTTAATGAAAGTTAATGTAACAGGACTTTTTTCAAGGTAAACATTTTTGTTGATCCATTCATTATGAATTTTTTACACAGTGTAAAGGGTAACTGGACTTTTCAAATTATGCAAAAAAAAAAAACAAAAAAACAAAAAGAACAAAAATAGAAATACAAGGTTTTATGCGACAACAATATGCCCGTTTATTTCTTTGCGTCACATTACATCACACTAACACTTTCGTTCTGAATTGTTTTTCACTATGCAGGCAAATGTGATTCTCTTCATCGCCATCTTCATCACTGTCACTTTCAGCCTGAAAAGCCTGAACAATGAGATCTTGCAGAGGACACAAACTCAGGCTGATAAGAAACTCATCAGAAGTGTGCTGTTTAAAACCATGGCCCAGTTTTTCATCCTTGGTTGCCCCTGGATACTGGGTTTGTCCATCAGTAGTAGTATCGTACTGGAGATTATCTTTGTGATCCTCATCTCCCAGCAGGGCACCGTAATCTTCCTGGTCCATTGTGTCCTCAACCAAGAGGTCAGCCACCACACTGACCGCCACTCTCACAT